TGAATCTTTCCCATGGAATTTATAACCCCGAGGCAGAGAGCATGGAACATTATTGAGGGTCCCTAGTTCTTGATAGCACTGAGGATGCATATGGTGAGTAAGTCGGGGGACCCTGTAGGCACAAGAGAGGGAAAAAGGGAGTGAGTGAGCTTGACACAGGCTTCTGAAGCTGCAGGCAGTAATTTTTCCACATGCTCTCACCATTCTTCAGAATGGAGATTAAGGCTCAAGTGGTTGGGTACAAAAGAAGAAAGGAGAATTACATAAGGGAAATTGTCACAGAAGAAAATCCAGAGCAGCAGGAGCTGGACAGAAGAGCTGGTATTGGGAGGTCATGTGTGTGGGTGGGTGAGTGGGTGGCGGGACTACATAGGTGAGGGTTGGACTAAGTGATCTACTCATCCTCTTGTCTTTTCACGCACAAAGGTCCAGCCTTAGGGCACTTCAGAGGGGAAGGACAGTGTCCTGTCATGGCATGCAGATGTAGTGTAGGTAGGGAGCCTCAGACCTGGAGTCAGATTGCTGTGAACACCAGCGAAGTGCTGCACACCGAACAACTGGTGTTGCTAATAATTATGTTCTATTCTGGGCTTTGCTGCAGGGACTTGAGAACTTCCCTATGGCCTGTCACATCCCCTAGCAGTGCTGTGCCATTCAACTGTGTACTGTGTGCCATGGCAATCGCTTCATTTCACCCTTCCCTGCCATTCCCACTTGGTCCTACTTATGCATGCCTGGCCATTACCTATATATTAGGACCACAGCTGCCCCTCCTCGGTCGAGGCACCGGCTTGGACATGTCTGATGTCACTACCACAATGTTGTTGAGTCTTACATTGTGCTGGAAATTCTACAGTACAGTTTGTTTTCACTTTGCATCATTATATAGGTACAGGGGATTTTGCTTCTCAACGTTCATGTTAGAAGATGCCCACCACCCCTGAAAGTTTTACAAATCAAAATTACTAGCATCATCTATTTTTGGAAAACTTCCTCAGCAATTCTGGTGCCACTCAGGCTCATCTGTTGGTAGTTCAGCATGCCCTCCCCAATGTCAACTTTAAGAGATTGAATTAGGAAGTGTTCTTTGAACCCTGTCTCAGAAAGCAAAATATAAATAAATGATTAAATAAGTGAAAAAGTGAAAAGAAAACACACAGACACAGAAGCACACACATCATTAAAGAAAAGTTCATAGCTTCACCTGCTGACATGAATGTATAATCTGAGCCCTCAGCAAGTTGGAGCCAGCTGGATCCTAATAGGGCAAGAGAGACTCCATGTTTTTGGTTTTAACTCCATATTAAGAGAAGTCAGGGGCTGGGGATTTAGCTCAGTGGCAAAAGTGCCTGCCTGGCAAACAATTTTACATTTTTTTTCCGGTACCGGAAAAAAACCCAAAAAACCAAAACAAAACAAAACAAAAAACAACATATTAAGAGAAGTCACTTAAAGTTCGCTTAAGCAATAGTTCATCCCAGTCACCTTGGTTAGTTGTCAGCTCAGCAGAGCAGAGTCATAAAACTGGAACAGAACAAACAGGACAAATTTGGAAGTGGGCTAAAAGTTAAACTGTAATGGTCATTAGGAATTCAGCTGTCTGACCTTCTGGGAGAAGTAAACTTTGTGATAATTGTGTGACATTCTTGTAAGATTGCCAAAAATGAGGTAACGGTTACTGTGGAAACCTAAAATGTACTTAAACTGAAAGTCAGACCCAGATCCGGGTGGATATTTTCTCTGGCTCCTGGTTAGGGACTGTCCGTCAGCCGGCTTAATAAAGCTTTGTTGCTGATTTTCGGTTTTCTTGTGAGTGCCTTTCTCGTTGAACTTGCTTGCGTATCAGATGGAGGCCTTGAGCATGAGACTGACTTCACAGAGAAAACAAACAAACAAGCAAAAAACCCTTGCTTGAGGAGGCCCTATGCCTCCCGGCTTTGCCAACCCCTCTTCAGGTGGCAGGCCACCCCGGCTGATCTCAGCTGGCCACCTGGGGATGACTGAGTACCAGGAAGCTAAGGTTATGGAAATAGAATGACGAGCTGTGCTCTCCAACCTAGGTAAGATTTCAATAGGATTCTGTTGTTTGCTCTTGGTTTCTTTTTCCCAGATGGACAATTTGATGGGCCTGGGCTGCCAGATGTGGCAACCATGTGGTCTCAGCATAGCTGAGACTTTCTTCAGAGCTTTGCTTCTGAGTCTGTTCAGAACCCTGTCTCTGAGTTTGTTTTGGATTTGGTCAGTTCTGGACTCTAAAATTTTTTTCAAATGAATGGTCGGAGATGATTCATGATTCCAGGGATTGTTTTGCTTTGTTTGTCTGTTCTGTGTTTGTCTCCCAAATGTGTACATGATTTCAGGTTGCCACAGCCTTGGGCTCTTGTGTGGATTGTTGGCTGAGTAGGGGAAAGACCTGCTAAGGTAAACTCTTCTTTGTTCTAAACTGAGCTTTCATGGGCTCAGCAAACAGTAAGCCCACCATTCTGGTTTAAGCATGATTAAGAATTTTGACAAATGTAAAGATGATGTGTGTTTGTGGATTCCCACGTGGAGTTCTAGTAATTAACACAAGGTCCCCTGAGCAGAAATCCCCAGTTTTGCCCTGGCACCTGAGAAAGATGATCCTTTTGTTTCCCAACTCAGCCACCCCCCATCCTGTACACGAGATTGCTTGCCTCAGCAGGCGATTCCTCCTGATCTGCGGCACTGACCCTGGGGCTTTCTGTTCTCACTGCTGCAGGCAGTTTTCCCCCAAGTCTGTAGCAGATTCAGATGAAGAAGTCTCCTCCTCAGGTCTCATCCCAATCTTGCCTCTCTGGCAGACTGCTGTGATGAAGCTGGGAGAAAACTCATTCTGCATTTGGAGAACTTAACATCCCCCTTTTCAGAGCCAACTCTGGCCTTGATTACTTTGCTGGAAATGGAGTCTGAGACTCACTGCCCCACCTGGGGTGACTGTCAACAGTAAATGTTAACTTTGTTTTCTTCAGAAGGGAGAGAAAGGATTTTAAAGGTGATTGAGAAACAAATGAGATTAGATATAGGAAAAACTACACAGGACAAAGAAACCCCAACTGGGATTACAATGCTGAGGAGCGACTAAATGCTTTAAAAAAATCACTGGGCTTTGAGGAGGGGGCTTCTTTCTGTGGCTCATGGCACCACTGACCTACATAAGGTGGCAAAAGTGTTGCAAGCTGCAGAAATTGGAAAGGACTGCAGGGATGAACTTGTCTCAGCTGGTGGAGATTGCCCAAAATTTGCTTCATGACAGAGAGGACACAGAATGGAAGTTTAAGCAGGAGCAGAGAAAAGTGGTGTTAGCAGCTTACAGGAAAGAGGCATAGCTGGGAACTAGGGAGAGAGGAAAGAAGGGTAAACAAGGAGAAGCCCTTTGTATTCCCCTGGGTCCGAACCAATGTGTCCATTGTAAAGAGAGGGGACATTTCAAGTGAGAATGTCCAAAGCTGCTAGACAAGGAGAGAAGAGGGTGTTTGTGGTGGAGTCAGAGGAAGTTTCAGATTGACAGGGTCATGGATCTCTATCCCTTGGCCCCGGGGAACCCATGTTAACTGCAAATGTAGAGCAAAGACCTGCTGGATTTTCAATAGACACTGGCTTTTCAGCCAATAGCCCCATTCTTAGGCCAAAAAATTATGATTCAATTGGGCCAAAATATATCTGAGTGCACTCTGATTTTTTAAGCAAATTGTCTTGTGTGTTTTTGTTTGTCTCTCTGTCCAATCTGTAAATAGCTGTTTTATTTGAGCTCAGCAAATTTTTCCTCTTTTTGTATTTTTTGTAATTTTGAAACAATTATCTAAAATTTAATTTACCTTATAGATAAGCATCATCTAAATTAAAGATATGCTTTCACCTAACGTTGCCAGGTGGTCAAAATGATGTTAAAATTGGTTTTATAAATGTAATGCCTATTGTTGTTTATGTATTATGACTTGGGAGTCTTTTATTGTTCAAATTTAATGCATCAAGCCTTGAGATCGTGTTTTCAGGAAGTATAAAAATTTGTTAAACTAATTAAAAAGAAATCTCTTAGGCTGGGGAGAAATTATTAGAAAAGACTCCGATGATGAATAAAAAGCAGCTGCGTGGAATAACAGTAACTGGGTTTTGTTCATTAATAAGGAGCCCCAATAATCTCCATAGCCTTATGGGAGACACCCCAATAGATATTGTTTAAAATATATTACTGTGATATGTTTACATTGGTCATTGTCAAAGGTTAATTTTCAAATAGGAGACAATAAGGTTTTTTTGATTAAAAAATGCTATGGGTACACAACTAAATTAAGAAACAAAATAATGACAGTTTGTTACTATTAATTTCATGGTGTATTAAATGTATTCATGCCTTCCAAATGTACAGTATTCTAAAATGTAAAATTGTTTGTTATAGGGAGAGACATTTTCTTTTGGATTCAGACATCTACTTTTCTCTGTGCTTCAGATATTTGTGATAAGAAGTTCATGTCAAGTCAACATGAGGTCCTATTTGTCAGTATATTGAAAATAATATTACTATTGTATTGGTTAATGTACATAATGCTTATTAGGAGTATGACTCTGTTTAGATAAACTTCTTACAATGGCAGAGTTTTGTGAAAACTCAAGCTATATGGATCCTGTTTGGCTATGAATATTATACAAGCTTGGCATTGCAGCACTTCATTTATTACCCGAATTAGTCTATTGTGTTAGCCATTGACCTAATATCTTTAGTTTTTCTTTAGTTAAGTTACATAAGGACACATGATATTTAGGCTTTCTTAGTGCCAAATTTTTGTGGTTTGACACAAAGAATTTCATTTACCTTTTCTGGGCCTTCTGTTTATCTGTTTATCTGTTTATCTGTTTATCATAGAAATGATATATTGAATGAACTGACATTTCTTGGTACTTCCTGGGCTATCTTTTCTTTCTGAGAACTTAACTGATCATATATTCATAAGCACTTACTTATACAGAAGTATGATCAGACACTCTATTGGGAATTCAAAGTTATGAAACATCCCTACTTAAAAGGAGCACATAGTGTGTCTAGGAAAAAAGAAATCAACCAGTTATGTAAGCTGATGAAATTACTAACAGTCCAGACAATGTCACAAATTTCTTCAATGACATAAGGACAACAAATTAGATAAAAGCTTCTTATGTATTAGATAGGGATAATTGACTAAAAGACTATTCTATTCCAAGGTGGAGGTTTAAATGTGTCACAAAAATGTCATCATGACTGTGACGTTATAATACTATGTCTAAATTTTCTCTGCATAATTGCTGTCTGTTAACATTCTACAGGGATTCATCTACTAGAGCACTCATGCTTGGTGAGAAGTAGCAGTTCTATGGCTATGCTTTATATTTCAAGGCTCTTCTGGACATTCAGCAACTGAGGTTTAGAAACCAAAAGTTAAAAACACAGATGGGCTGAAAACACAGATAACCAATATGGCCCTAGCCCTCCAAAACATGTCAGTCTCCTTGAAATACTCCTTTTTGTGTCAGTTCCCAAGCCTGGGATAAATGGGTATCACCCAGTCCAGGACTTGTGGGCAATGAATGCCCTGGTTGTAACCCTTTACCCTACTGTACCCAACCCCTATACCTTTCTTAGTTAACTCCCACCTACTCAGAGTTGGTATACTGTGTTGGATTTAAAAGATTTTTTTTTCCGTATTTCTTTGTCTGTTGCATCCCAAGAGTTGCCTGCTTTTGAATGAGAGGATCGGGGGCAGGGGAATGAAAATGTACTTTACTAAAGGAAACTGATGGCCCTCAACACTGCCTCCCTTTCACCGACATCACTGGAGCCACCTGAGCACAACTATGTGCACACAATCAAGGCAATCCAACTCAGCCAGACTGGACCTACGGGACGCATCCCTCCGGAACCCTGACTTGACACTTCTTGGGCTACAACAGAATGGTAATTGATGAGGTTCAGAGGGTGAGAATGACAGTTGTCACTCTTGAGCAGATTGTCTAGCCCAAGGCTTTGCATCCTGGAATGTTAACACAAAGGCCAAACTGGGCTTTGAAAATAGAATAAGCCCGATATGCCCTTGGTACTTTAAAGGGGCCTCCTGACTATGGGGGAGGGGGAGACATTAAGAACTCTTAGGAGATATTGAACTTACTACAGGCTGTGTTGTAGCCTGCCAAGGTAAGCTGTGATTCACTGTCCAGGCCATCAGAAAACAAAAATTCCTTAGAGGCCCAAGAAAACCAAGCAGCTGATTTAGTAGCCAAATAAGCTGCTATTGGAGACTCACACCCTATGATCTAGGCTCTAGTGGCCCTGCTCCTCAAGTCACCTAAATATTCAGAAAGAGAACTTATGTGGGCCACTACAAAAGGAGCTACGTAACAAAATGGATGGCAAGTTTTGCCAGGAGGAAAGATGTTCCTTCCTGAGGCTGTAGGACATTTTCTCATCCAGGAGCTGCCTAGCCATACTCACTTGGGAAAGACATGGCTAAGCTGCTTGGTTGTCATTTCTCTACTTCTAGACTTCAGACTCTGTGTGCATCTGTGGCAGGCAGATACGTGTTTTGTGTTCACAACAATCCATTTTCTCATCCGCAGAAACTGCCCAGAGTCCACAGACAAGGAATACTGGCCTTTGAGGATGTTGAGGTGGATTCTACAGAACTCAAACCCACCCTTAGAAACAAGAAGTATTTGTTGGTCCTCATTTGCACCTATTTGGACTGGGTGGAGGCCATCCCCACAAAAACTGAGATGACTAGAGAGATGATAAAAGCTCTGATGGAGCTAGTTATTCCTCAGTATGGGCTTCCCATGATGGTAGGTTCACATGATGGGCCTTCTTTCATGGGTTGAGTGGTTCAGAGCCTTTCCACTAAAATGGGAGCTACACACCACTGACCAACCACAGAGTTCTAACCAGGTAGAGAGACAGAATCCAACTTTAAAGTCTACCCTAGCCAAGCTGTGCCAAGAGACTGGGACAAACTGGGTAACTATGCTTCAGATCACCTTGCTGAGGTACCGATGCACCCCATACCAGGAAGAACTCACTCTGTTTGAGATCATGTTGGGAGGCCTCCCCCACTTTTGCCCATCTTATAAACACTACAAGAGATAAGGACTCTTGATGTACTGGAGGAGCACATTTGTAATGACAACCATTGTGTACCACTGAGTGGACCCTATTTGCCTTCAGTGAGCTGAGCTGGCCTCACTGTATTTCCTGTATGACCAGCAAGATGTTATATTTATAATCCACATAAGTAAATTTTGGATCCCTCACTGGTGATGAGACAAAGCCAATCCTGAGATTCACCATTTCCCATGTATGAGGTTAAAAAAAGACAATTAGAGGGGATAATGATGACACAGACTTGGTAAAGAGGGGACTCTATATGCACCCAAAAACAATGGAAGGAAGATGCAGAAGGAGTTCAAAATGTGGCCAGGCTAGTTCCTTGGCAAACATGACCAGGTTAGTTCCTTGGCAAAAGTAGTGTTACTGAATAGGAGAAGAGTCAATTTCCTCTTTATGGAACAGGGGGGAGCTATGTGCTGCCCTTAAGAAAAGAAATGCTGTTTTTATGTAAACAACTCAGGAGTCATCATAGATATGCTTGACTGGTTGAATAGAGAAGCAAAAGAAGGAGAAAGACATATTATAGCCACCAAGGGTGATATGAAGGACTCTTCGAGTGGGGCCCGAGATTAGCCTCCCTGATGACTAAGATCACTAGGCTCGTGGTGATTTTCGTAGTGATCCTTACTTTTCGGCCATGCAAAATTAAATGGGATAAAAATAGGATCCAAAACAATGTGAACTGAGCACAAAAGATGGTTCTAAAGGAGGAAACCAATTATAGAGTGGAGACCAAATCTCAAATCTGTGAAGGATTACATATGTCCTGAAAAAGGAAAATAAGTCCTTGAGGGGGCAAAGGTAGGGCAAGAGACTCGATTTTCTGATTTTAAATCCGTGAGAGAAGTCACTTATTAAGTTAAATGAAGCCACAGTTCACCCCAGTCACTTCGATCAGCTATGAACTCAGAGTAGAATCATAAAATGGGGACAGAAAAAACAGGACAAATTGGGAAGTGGGGTAAAAAGGAAGCAGCAATAGTAATTAGGAATTCCGCTGAATAACCATGTGGGAGAAGTGAACTTTGTGATAAGTGAGTGCCATTCTTGTAACATTCACCAAAATCAGGTAATGGTTAGGATGGAAAATGAAATGTACTTAGACTGAAAATTTCTCTGGCACCTGGTGAGAGATTGTCCATTGGCCAGCTGAATACAGCCTGATTTCATTGCTGGGATTTCAGATTTGTGGTACGCGTGTTTCTGCTGAAATGACTGACTTAATCAATCTGAAGTTGGGCACAGAGGAAGCAAATTTAAATGCAGTGAGATACCATGTCAAAACAAAAAGTAAAAGGAAGCCAGACACGAAACTGAGCTCTGATGTCCAAGGTTAAATAACCACTAATACAGACAGGAGAGGAAGAAGTCATCGGCCCACACCATGCCTTGGGCCATGAAGAGTTGAAGTCCAGAGAAAGGTGCCAAGCACGGAGGCAGAGCGCCTGGAGACAAGACCCTTGTAGGTTTGGCAATAAAGTGGGTCACCAGTAGGGGGCACCCGGATTTGAACCGGGGACCTCTTGATCTGCAGTCAAATGCTCTACCCCTGAGCTATGCCCCCACCTGCCGACTAGGTGTGTGTCATAAGCCCTGTAAACCTGTGTGACCGCACCTGCCTGAAGCCATCCTGCACTTGCAGAGCTCTGCCATCATCGGGTGTGCCCTTCCTCCTGGGCCCCTCTCGGTACCTCCGCAGCCCCATCTGTCTCCTCTTCTGGACACCAGCAACCCCTGGCCCCAGCACATGGCCCAAGGCGCTGGCGTTGCACGCGTGGAGGTGTGCAGCGAGAAAGCCCTCCACACTCACTTTCCGGAGCCCTCCACGCTCCAGGAGGGAGCTGCTCAGCAGACCCTGTGGAAGCCAGGAATGCCGTGGGATGGGCTTCAGGTAGGGGCATCGTTGAGGGTTGGGCCAAAGCAGAGGGGCAGGCACCTGGACGGAGGCTTCTGTCCTTGCACCCAGGGATGGGTCCTGACGTGGGAGGGACAGAGATGTGTGTCCCTGGGGCACCGCACGGGGCAGTGATTGCCACCTGTGACCAGTAAGGAATGGAAGAGCCAGCTGCTGAAAGTCGTGGGCCACTCATGGACTGCCTGATCTGCAGTGCCATGCTCCGACCCACTCCCACACCCTCTTCCCTGTGCAGACTTTGGGCACGAGCGGGTCTGGCTGTGTGGCCGCACCCAAGGATCGGGTTCGTCTTTGGCTCCTCTTAGCTGGGGATCTCGGGGGCCCTGATGGGCCTCGACACAGTCCACCTGGCTGTGACCATGCCCCCTCCTTCCTCCTCAAGAGCCCTATCCCAGAATAGGAGGAATCCCGCCGGCCCCCGCAAGACCTGCAGCTCAGCCTCCTCCAGCTCGCTCCCCTTGCACCATTAGTGTGGGCAAGGCTGTGTGGGGCCGCACTCGGGCTCTCTCTTCGCCGAGGAGGGAAGGCCTCAGCCCCTCCGTCCTCCCTGTGCTGCATCTCCCTCGCTGCCCTTGCACCCGGGGCTCTGGGGTTCTCGGTCTGCTGTCTTCAGCTCAGCTCTTCTCCCTTCTCACTTACTACCGTGGGCTTGGAGGGAGATATCTTCCCGCAGAGGGCACACCCCAAGCTGGGCCAAACAATCCACCCAGCATAGCCGCCCGGGTCCCGAGCTGTTGGCACAGCTGGGACTCAGGACTCTGGACGCCCTCTGGTCGTGGGAGGGGACCCTGCCTGGTGTCCTTCCTGTGGTGGGGCCAGCAACACGATGCCACAAAGCCACGCAGCAAGGAGTATGTGGGGAGTGGGCCTTCGGCCACAGGGACATGAGAAAGACAGGGCGTGTAAGGTCAGGGGCATGGTGAAGCCCCAAACTCCCTGGGATTGCCAAAGGATGATCAGGTCACAGGCTGTTTGCTTCCTCGTCTGATGGATTACCTCTTCCTCCCTGGGTGCTGAGAGGTACACTTCCGCACGCAAGAACACCATACCCGGGAATCTTTCTAATGGCATCGCAGCCATGAGCAGGACAGCATGGAACATCACGGAGGGTGCCCGGTCCTCGATGGCACTGAGGATGCATATGATGAATGAGTGAGTGAGGGCACCTGATGGGCACAAGTGACAGGCCAACAGAAGTGAGCCAGCTTGACACGGACTGCCGAAGCAGCGGGCAGGAGTTGTCTGCACAAGCTCCCAGCATTCCTCAAAATGGGGATGAAGGGCCAGGCAGCTCGGGACAAAAGAGAGTTCAGCGACCGCAGAGAAATGTTCAGAGAGAGATACCGCGGGCGAGAGAAGCTGGACAGTAGGACCGGTGCTGGGAGGTCCTGCGGGTGGTTGGTTGCGGGTTGGCGGGACCTTGTAGGAGAGGACGGGACGACCTGATGGACTCATGGTTTTCTGGCTTCTTGCAGAAAGTTTCAGCCTCCGGGCGCTTCCGAGAGGTAGGGAAGGCTTCCCTCGCAGCTTTCTCGGAGAGCCAAAGGAAATGTAGTTAGGCAGCCTCGCACCTGGGCTCTGGTGGCCAGGAACCCTGGGGAAGTGCCGGCCTCACAACAACTAGTGTGACCCAAGCATAATGTGCCACTCTGGCATTTGTACAGGGACTGGAGACCTTCCTCTGGCCTGCTGCCTCCCCAAGCGGTGCTGGGCTGTGCTGTTGGCCAGCTGTCTCCCATGCTCCCTGCTTCCTTCCGCCCTCACCTACCTTTCCCACATTGCCGCACTCTGCGCTCCTGGCCACTGCCTGTGCCTCCAGCTCGAGACTCAGCAGCCCTAGCTGGAGCCATGGCTTAGAAATCACTGGTGTCACTAGCACACTTTTGGTGAAGCAGACTTTGTCCTGGACATGGTACTGCAGGTTTTGTATTCGGTTCACGGCACTGCACCCTAGCAGGGGACTGTTTTTCCCAACACGTATGTTTCAAGCTGTCTCACCATCCCACTGTCAGACATCCCAATTGCCAGCGTCCTCAGCTGCATTTTTGGCAGGGTTCCTA